TACCTGTTTCATCAGGAGACTGTTCATGGGGTTTATGCAAGGATGTGTGGGATGTATTTATCTCTACATGTAGGAGCTGTTTTGTTAGCATGGAATATGTATTTTCTAAACAATTTAGTAGTTCTGAGAATTATGATAAGCACATCACTTAATCACTTTTAATGTAGTTTTTAGGATGTAGATATTTAAGTTCACAGATAATATATCTAATAGCTTTGATCTGAAGGTTGGCTATGCCAATATATGTTCATTGGTTAAAATTATAGGAGCTATTTTAGAAATATTATGGGTTATTCCTTGAATGTAAACACCAGTGTTCTGTATAGCAAATAGTTTTATTTTTAGCTCTGTATTATTTGAAAACTATAAGTAAATGAGAATCAGAAGGAACTGACTTTTCAGAAGGGGAAATTGCTTACTAAAAACCTGTTGGATTTCCAGACAGTTCAGAGTTAAAAGAAAGAATGAAAAAAAACCCTTTAAAATGAATATAGTTCAGTAACAGCTGCTCAGTGGTGATAAGAAACAAGATGTATGTGGTTTCAGGACCACGAGCAGAATGTGTTTGTGTGTCTGTTTTTAATGAGCTGAACTTCTAAACTGAACTTAATTCTCTGGCATGGACTGCATAGATTTGGTATTCTGCTTTTCTCTAGAAGGTTTTAATGTAACTTCAATCTAATTTAATAAACTAATCCTCTGTATTAAAAGGCAGAGTTTATTGCAAACACAAGTAGAATGATTTGCTGCTGTGTGACTCACTGCAGTGTGACTGGCAGTTGTTTCAGTGCTCTGTGTCTGACCCTTGTCCAGGTAAATGCCACCAGTTACCTCCAGACCCTCTGCCTGGCTGAGAACCTACGGACAGATGGGAAAGACTTGGCTGCTCTGCTGACCACAAATAACTGTGACATCCGAAAATGTGTTCTCTACTTACAGTTTTGGGTTAGAAGTGGAGGGGGATGCTTGAAGGAGAAACGCCTGGCACATCATGGTAGGTTGATTTGATTTCATCTTTAAAAAACCTCCATCTAAACAGGAATTTGATTAAATCAAACCATCCTCAGGCACATACAAATAAATGGTAACTTCTTGAAGGACTCCTAAGTATTTGGGTAGGGCTGTTTGGGTGTTTTATGGGTAAGAACTTGATCCCAAAGGGTTCAGAAAGAGAATCCTCAACAGGTTTGGGGGTGTGAGTGACCAACAGGGTGAGACCCAAGAGGCACAACCCCCTTCAAAGGTCACTTGCAAAGGCAGGTTGGTGTCACTGCCAGCAAGGAATTGGGGTGGCAGTGGCTCATTTCAGTCACTGCATTCATTCAGAACCACAGCAAGAGCCAACAGTTACAGTTTCCTTCACAAAAGGAATTGAGGCAAAGAGGTGAAAAATCGATTTCATGGTGCAGTTGTTTCTGTTCAAGTCAAACCTGTTATCTTTGTGCAGGAGGAGAGGAGACAAGTGAAGCAGGTGATGTAATTCATTCTGAACGTGATGATTCCAAGGTGGATTCTTCTCCAGGTGATGATGCACGTCTGCAGGAGCTTCCAAAATGTGACACAGGCTGTGTAGAGACGTTGCTTGGCCTTCGGAACATCCTGTTGCCTTCAGAAGACTTGTTTACATTTCTTAAGGTATTTTTGGAGTTGCTTAGTTAATACTTTGGATGATGCCAGATAATTGAGTGTAACCAGCACTAGGAACAGTGACCTCTTAGAAGCAAATCTCTGCAAAGGTTTGTTGTAGAAATTAGGGGGTTCTGTGGTTATTAAGCAAAACCTGGATGGGGGCAGTCTCCTGCCAACAGAACAGTCCCTCACCTCATAAATACAAAGCCAGAAGTGAGAGATTTTCTGTAATAATATTTTTATTAATTTTATTAATAAATTTCTCATGATTCTTATTTTACAGCACAAAAGCGCAACCATGGAGGAATGGAATAAATTAATACAGCTTCTCACAGAATTCCAGATGAAGCAAGTGGATTTTATATACAGTAATCTTGAACTTATCCTTCCTTTACCAGTGCAAGTTCTTTCAAACCAGTCTGAAGCCTCTAAGTCTACACCTGAAAGGACTACCACAGTTTCTTCAAAAAACAGGTCTACCAACAGTAGTTGCTCTGGGAAGAGTAGCCCTGGAAAAAGGTCTAAGAAGACAAAGACTCATAAAAGGCTTGATATATTGGATGACAGTGACTTATTTGATACTGAACTGAACTATTCATCTGAATTCGTAACTTTGCCATTGGATGGTCCTGCGTCATGTGCTGAAATGAATAAAAAGGAATCAAAATTGTTGGTGAATAGAGAAGAAAAAGGAGTTAAAACTAAAACATCAGCAAATGAAGAAAGGTCTGCTCTTGTTTTTCAGTGTCTGAATTCACTGACTGAGTTTGTGGAAAACATGTCTTTCCTGGATTGCTGTGTAAGCACCAACACCAAGGAACCACTGGAGTTTTCCAGAGAGGAAGAATTTCATTGGACAAATGCCAAAATCAGAAATGGTCTTTGTGATGAATTCAGTATAGAAAATACTGATTGGTGGAGTTCCCAGAGCTCCAGTGAAGTAAAGGCAGCTATTGAAGCACTCAGTTTTCACAAGTGTTCTGTTAATATTTCACAAAACTTGGAATCCTTTTTGAGTACCAGGAAAACACCTTCAAGTGATCAGCTGGAGGGACTTACTTTGCATATCTCAAACACAAGGAATGGTGTGTCCTTCAGTGAGTCAGCTGACTCAAGGTAAGGCTTTGCTAATATTCCTGGAATATAATGCAGTTCTTTGTCAAGAAAAGCATTTCACAGGGAGTAGGACTGTCTCAGATTTAATGTGTACACATTTATACCACTATGTTGTCAGTATGTCTCAAAACACTGGAATATGTTTTATAAGCTTAAATTAACTGCTCAGTCTGCAAAAAGTGACTTTTTTTGTTTGAATAGCCTGACTATAATGTTGCTCAGAAATGGTAGCCTCAGTCTAATTAATTTAAAAATGGACAAACACCACCCCCACCCCTAAAAGAATAACAAACCCCCAAAGGAATGGCTTTTGCAAGAGAGACAGATGGACTAAAATGGATTCTGCAAGTGCTGGACATGTAGATCTGTCATCCAGCACCTGCTCATGTTGAACCTGTGTTAAATGTGTTGGTGGGTGTTGCTTGGTGCAGACCAAACAGAGTTCCAAGCAGCACACAGGAGCTGCAGACATCTCATCCTTTGGGATGCAGTTTTGGACATTGATGTGTTTAACGGAGTTTTAAACCAGTACATTTGATCCTAAAGAAACAAAATCAGGACATTCTTGAACAAGACCCAATAAAGCTTCGTTCTCTGTTTCAGCATTCACAAAAAGGCACAGAAGAGGCTGGCTGTCATCAGAACTGTGTTTTCCAGAAGCCCTTTAAACCTGGGGAACAAGCAGGCCAGCATCCTGGAATACCTCCCCACGCTCCGCGGGATCTGTAGGTCTGAGAAGCTTAAAGAGCAAGGGAAGACTAAAAGAAGGTAAGTTTTGGTTTTCCTAAATCTTCCTACATTTCAATATTCCAGGTAGTTATGGATTTTAATAAAATTATTTTGTCAAAATAATTCCAGACAAGAAAGGTGGGCATTTGTCTCTCAAAATAACAGAAGTGTTGCCTCATTTAGCAATTAACTTTGTTCCCTTACAATCACTTTTGCTTTTCTTTTTTTTTTTATAGGTTCTTGCATTATCTTGAAGGGATTCATCTCGAAATACCCAGACAAATGATAAATGGTCTGTCTTTGGACTTCCCTTAGAATTGCTAACACCAGAAATACTTTGTGCCTAATGGTGGTATTCTCACCATAGTTTGATTATTTTTTTTTTAAATCTTTTTTACCACATTATTGTATATTCAGAGCCATTTGTATATTAAATTTTTATAAGTATTTAAAATAATGTATATATCTATTGTCGTGCTATTGCTCTCCACAGCTGAAATGTGGGTTTGTTTGGTGCTGGTCCAATGAGTGCATTTATAATATTAAATGCACAGACTATTCCATGGGGAATCCTCCAATTTGGGTGTCAGACAGCAAGAAGTCCTTTTGTAGCAACCAAGTGTCACAACTTCCACAGCAGAGGAGACCATTTTGTTCAAAGCCGTTTGTTTCTGAATGTGAGTGAAGTGCTCAATAACTCGGGGTGGGAGGGGGCAGGAGAGGATGCAACAAATCTTCTGAAGTGTGAGTGACTCAACCCAACTCCTCACAACAACCACAGGGAACAGAGTCTTTGCAAAGCACTCAGTGCCTCGGTGTACATATATTTGTATATTCCTTTCATCATTTACAGCTGTCAGATCTGCATGTTAATCTAAAAAGGTAGAGAAGTTATCGCTGTAGCTCAAGATGGTCTCAGAGATTTAGGCAAGATTTTGTAAATAACAATTATTCCAGTGTTACTGTGGGTTCAGGAATATTTAACTACTTCTAGCCTTATATATTGTGTTCTATTTTTATGCTTCTTTTTGTATTGGACAAGACTTCAGCCTGATTATTTGGATTGGTTCTGGTTTTGTACGACAATAAATTGTGAGACTTTGCTACAACTTTGGATGTTTCTGTTGTATGAAAAGTAAGATTTATAAAACGTTTTCAGGCCATAGAGATGATTTTTAGAGGGTTTTAAAACTGGAATTAGTTCAGCCATGTACTTTTCTGCCTTTATATTGCAGTTGGACTGTTCCTGTTCCTCAAACTGAGTCAGATCCTGCCATGCAGTGCTGCTCCACTTACCTCAGTGTCTCTGTAATAATAAGGAAGGCATTTCCTAGTACATTCTCTTCCCATATTTTTCATGCCTTAAAGATATTCAGGAATAAGAAATATTTATGAAAACGGTAAATTATTTTAAGGTTTCACATTGTAGATAATCTTTAGAGTTTACTCTTTCCACAGTTCAGAATTATCCAAAAATCAAAGTGGGTGCTGTTAAAATCTTAGTGGGTTGATGATTTGTTGCATCGATGGTCTATGCTCCTCCTGTACATTTTTGTAAAAATAAATAAATACACTTTTTTTTTTTATAACAAAGCANTCTGCTGTAATGGATAAAGGAAATAACTAGTTTGGAACATAATGTCATGACAATTCACTGGTATCTCTTTATGCAGATCCAACTTTCAGCTTAATGTTTGATGGCTCTTTTGAAGAGATCAACTTTAGAACCCCTTCCCTGGTAAGTATGTTTGGAAATGCAGGTACAGCCTAAGCAAGTAATTGTCAGCTGATTTCAGTTTGAAATTTAAATATTGGTGTAGGTTTATGTATTTCTCATGTACTTGTTTCATCAGGAGACTGTTCATGGGGTTTATGCAAGGATGTGTGGGATGTATTTATCTCTACATGTAGGAGCTGTTTTGTTAGCATGGAATATGTATTTTCTAAACAATTTAGTAGTTCTGAGAATTATGATAAGCACATCACTTAATCACTTTTAATGTAGTTTTTAGGATGTAGATATTTAAGTTCACAGATAATATATCTAATAGCTTTGATCTGAAGGTTGGCTATGCCAATATATGTTCATTGGTTAAAATTATAGGAGCTATTTTAGAAATATTATGGGTTATTCCTTGAATGTAAACACCAGTGTTCTGTATAGCAAATAGTTTTATTTTTAGCTCTGTATTATTTGAAAACTATAAGTAAATGAGAATCAGAAGGAACTGACTTTTCAGAAGGGGAAATTGCTTACTAAAAACCTGTTGGATTTCCAGACAGTTCAGAGTTAAAAGAAAGAATGAAAAAAAACCCTTTAAAATGAATATAGTTCAGTAACAGCTGCTCAGTGGTGATAAGAAACAAGATGTATGTGGTTTCAGGACCACGAGCAGAATGTGTTTGTGTGTCTGTTTTTAATGAGCTGAACTTCTAAACTGAACTTAATTCTCTGGCATGGACTGCATAGATTTGGTATTCTGCTTTTCTCTAGAAGGTTTTAATGTAACTTCAATCTAATTTAATAAACTAATCCTCTGTATTAAAAGGCAGAGTTTATTGCAAACACAAGTAGAATGATTTGCTGCTGTGTGACTCACTGCAGTGTGACTGGCTGTTGTTTCAGTACTCTGTGTCTGACCCTTGTCCAGGTAAATGCCACCAGTTACCTCCAGACCCTGTGCCTGGCTGAGAACCTACGGACAGATGGGAAAGACTTGGCTGCTCTGCTGACCACAAATAACTGTGACATCCGAAAATGTGTTCTCTACTTACAGTTTTGGGTTAGAAGTGGAGGGGGATGCTTGAAGGAGAAACGCCTGGCACATCATGGTAGGTTGATTTGATTTCATCTTTAAAAAAACCTCCATCTAAACAGGAATTTGATTAAATCAAACCATCCTCAGGCACATACAAATAAATGGTAACTTCTTGAAGGACTCCTAAGTATTTGGGTAGGGCTGTTTGGGTGTTTTATGGGTAAGAACTTGATCCCAAAGGGTTCAGAAAGAGAATCCTCAACAGGTTTGGGGGTGTGAGTGACCAACAGGGTGAGACCCAAGAGGCACAACCCCCTTCAAAGGTCACTTGCAAAGGCAGGTTGGTGTCACTGCCAGCAAGGAATTGGGGTGGCAGTGGCTCATTTCAGTCACTGCATTCATTCAGAACCACAGCAAGAGCCAACAGTTACAGTTTCCTTCACAAAAGGAATTGAGGCAAAGAGGTGAAAAATCGATTTCATGGTGCAGTTGTTTCTGTTCAAGTCAAACCTGTTATCTTTGTGCAGGAGGAGAGGAGACAAGTGAAGCAGGTGATGTAATTCATTCTGAACGTGATGATTCCAAGGTGGATTCTCCTCCAGGTGATGATGCACGTCTGCAGGAGCTTCCAAAATGTGACACAGGCTGTGTAGAGACGTTGCTTGGCCTTCGGAACATCCTGTTGCCTTCAGAAGACTTGTTTACATTTCTTAAGGTATTTTTGGAGTTGCTTAGTTAATACTTTGGATGATGCCAGATAATTGAGTGTAACCAGCACTAGGAACAGTGACCTCTTAGAAGCAAATCTCTGCAAAGGTTTGTTGTAGAAATTAGGGGGTTCTGTGGTTATTAAGCAAAACCTGGATGGGGGCAGTCTCCTGCCAACAGAACAGTCCCTCACCTCATAAATACAAAGCCAGAAGTGAGAGATTTTCTGTAATAATATTTTTATTAATTTTATTAATAAATTTCTCATGATTCTTATTTTACAGCACAAAAGCGCAACCATGGAGGAATGGAATAAATTAATACAGCTTCTCACAGAATTCCAGATGAAGCAAGTGGATTTTATATACAGTAATCTTGAACTTATCCTTCCTTTACCAGTGCAAGTTCTTTCAAACCAGTCTGAAGCCTCTAAGTCTACACCTGAAAGGACTACCACAGTTTCTTCAAAAAACAGGTCTACCAACAGTAGTTGCTCTGGGAAGAGTAGCCCTGGAAAAAGGTCTAAGAAGACAAAGACTCATAAAAGGCTTGATATATTGGATGACAGTGACTTATTTGATACTGAACTGAACTATTCATCTGAATTCGTAACTTTGCCATTGGATGGTCCTGCGTCATGTGCTGAAATGAATAAAAAGGAATCAAAATTGTTGGTGAATAGAGAAGAAAAAGGAGTTAAAACTAAAACATCAGCAAATGAAGAAAGGTCTGCTCTTGTTTTTCAGTGTCTGAATTCACTGACTGAGTTTGTGGAAAACATGTCTTTCCTGGATTGCTGTGTAAGCACCAACACCAAGGAACCACTGGAGTTTTCCAGAGAGGAAGAATTTCATTGGACAAATGCCAAAATCAGAAATGGTCTTTGTGATGAATTCAGTATAGAAAATACTGATTGGTGGAGTTCCCAGAGCTCCAGTGAAGTAAAGGCAGCTATTGAAGCACTCAGTTTTCACAAGTGTTCTGTTAATATTTCACAAAACTTGGAATCCTTTTTGAGTACCAGGAAAACACCTTCAAGTGATCAGCTGGAGGGACTTACTTTGCATATCTCAAACACAAGGAATGGTGTGTCCTTCAGTGAGTCAGCTGACTCAAGGTAAGGCTTTGCTAATATTCCTGGAATATAATGCAGTTCTTTGTCAAGAAAAGCATTTCACAGGGAGTAGGACTGTCTCAGATTTAATGTGTACACATTTATACCACTATGTTGTCAGTATGTCTCAAAACACTGGAATATGTTTTATAAGCTTAAATTAACTGCTCAGTCTGCAAAAAGTGACTTTTTTTGTTTGAATAGCCTGACTATAATGTTGCTCAGAAATGGTAGCCTCAGTCTAATTAATTTAAAAATGGACAAACACCACCCCCACCCCTAAAAGAATAACAAACCCCCAAAGGAATGGCTTTTGCAAGAGAGACAGATGGACTAAAATGGATTCTGCAAGTGCTGGACATGTAGATCTGTCATCCAGCACCTGCTCATGTTGAACCTGTGTTAAATGTGTTGGTGGGTGTTGCTTGGTGCAGACCAAACAGAGTTCCAAGCAGCACACAGGAGCTGCAGACATCTCATCCTTTGGGATGCAGTTTTGGACATTGATGTGTTTAACGGAGTTTTAAACCAGTACATTTGATCCTAAAGAAACAAAATCAGGACATTCTTGAACAAGACCCAATAAAGCTTCGTTCTCTGTTTCAGCATTCACAAAAAGGCACAGAAGAGGCTGGCTGTCATCAGAACTGTGTTTTCCAGAAGCCCTTTAAACCTGGGGAACAAGCAGGCCAGCATCCTGGAATACCTCCCCACGCTCCGCGGGATCTGTAGGTCTGAGAAGCTTAAAGAGCAAGGGAAGACTAAAAGAAGGTAAGTTTTGGTTTTCCTAAATCTTCCTACATTTCAATATTCCAGGTAGTTATGGATTTTAATAAAATTATTTTGTCAAAATAATTCCAGACAAGAAAGGTGGGCATTTGTCTCTCAAAATAACAGAAGTGTTGCCTCATTTAGCAATTAACTTTGTTCCCTTACAATCACTTTTGCTTTTCTTTTTTTTTTTATAGGTTCTTGCATTATCTTGAAGGGATTCATCTCGAAATACCCAGACAAATGATAAATGGTCTGTCTTTGGACTTCCCTTAGAATTGCTAACACCAGAAATACTTTGTGCCTAATGGTGGTATTCTCACCATAGTTTGATTATTTTTTTTTTAAATCTTTTTTACCACATTATTGTATATTCAGAGCCATTTGTATATTAAATTTTTATAAGTATTTAAAATAATGTATATATCTATTGTCGTGCTATTGCTCTCCACAGCTGAAATGTGGGTTTGTTTGGTGCTGGTCCAATGAGTGCATTTATAATATTAAATGCACAGACTATTCCATGGGGAATCCTCCAATTTGGGTGTCAGACAGCAAGAAGTCCTTTTGTAGCAACCAAGTGTCACAACTTCCACAGCAGAGGAGACCATTTTGTTCAAAGCCGTTTGTTTCTGAATGTGAGTGAAGTGCTCAATAACTCGGGGTGGGAGGGGGCAGGAGAGGATGCAACAAATCTTCTGAAGTGTGAGTGACTCAACCCAACTCCTCACAACAACCACAGGGAACAGAGTCTTTGCAAAGCACTCAGTGCCTCGGTGTACATATATTTGTATATTCCTTTCATCATTTACAGCTGTCAGATCTGCATGTTAATCTAAAAAGGTAGAGAAGTTATCGCTGTAGCTCAAGATGGTCTCAGAGATTTAGGCAAGATTTTGTAAATAACAATTATTCCAGTGTTACTGTGGGTTCAGGAATATTTAACTACTTCTAGCCTTATATATTGTGTTCTATTTTTATGCTTCTTTTTGTATTGGACAAGACTTCAGCCTGATTATTTGGATTGGTTCTGGTTTTGTACGACAATAAATTGTGAGACTTTGCTACAACTTTGGATGTTTCTGTTGTATGAAAAGTAAGATTTATAAAACGTTTTCAGGCCATAGAGATGATTTTTAGAGGGTTTTAAAACTGGAATTAGTTCAGCCATGTACTTTTCTGCCTTTATATTGCAGTTGGACTGTTCCTGTTCCTCAAACTGAGTCAGATCCTGCCATGCAGTGCTGCTCCACTTACCTCAGTGTCTCTGTAATAATAAGGAAGGCATTTCCTAGTACATTCTCTTCCCATATTTTTCATGCCTTAAAGATATTCAGGAATAAGAAATATTTATGAAAACGGTAAATTATTTTAAGGTTTCACATTGTAGATAATCTTTAGAGTTTACTCTTTCCACAGTTCAGAATTATCCAAAAATCAAAGTGGGTGCTGTTAAAATCTTAGTGGGTTGATGATTTGTTGCATCGATGGTCTGTGCTCCTCCTGTACATTTTTGTAAAAATAAATAAATACACTTTTTTTTTTTATAACAAAGCAAATCTGTTCACTGCTTTATAAATTAGAAAGCAGTGGGAGACAATTTACCTCCTTTTGAAGTCAACTCTGAGGTTTTAATAACTGCCTTAAGAAGTTGTTTACAGAATCTCCTGTGGTGTCCAAAAGGTGAGGTGGAATTCAAGTATTTCACTTCTTGATCAGATCCTCACCACATCAAATCACCTCGAGCTACTCTGAATGAAGATAATCTGCATGTAATGATTTATTTGAGTTCTGATAAATTATCAGCTTTGGATTTTTATGCATCAGGTATGAGCATCTTTTGTATGCTGGAGTAAAACAAGTTTCCAGGAGGGATGGGCTCGAGGAAAAGGGCCCTGGGGCTGGTTTTGATTAACTCTGCTTGGAAGCTTCATCCTTGTACTGTGGAATTCACCTGCCTTTGATTCAAAATAGTTTCCTGCAACAGTTTGGGCCCTGCTTAGTCCTTTATCTACTGCCCCTCGAGCTCCCTTGTGTGTCTTGGGTGGAATTCAGTGAAACCAGAAGTAAAACAACCCTGGAGTTTCACAATGACTCCCCCCTTTAAGCAGCAGTTATTAGTAGGTGTTCAGCAATTGAAAAAACCAGAAAACCAACAACCCCATTGTTCTTGTTGAAATCTCAGTCAAATTCCAAGCTTTTCTTTCCCTTTACTGTCATTCCAGTATTGCTTTCCAGAATGTATATGGGGGTGACGTTATTCTACCATCCTATGAGTAACAGAGAAAAAAAGCAGACTACCTCAGTCTTTGTAAAAGATAATATAAATGACCGCTTTGCAAATCATACAGACTCTTTCTTTTATTCCATAGGAATTGTAAGGACACCACAAAAATTGGTGCGTGGCTTGCAAGAACAGGGGGAAAATGAAATCTGTGTTTCTATTCCAGTACCCACCAGTTCCTATAGGGTAAGTGCTGAAAAGAGATTCTGTGCAAGTGGTTGAACAACCCAACTTTTCAGATGTTCTGCTGCTGTTTGTTTCTCAGCTTCACAATACTTACAAACTAATAAAAGGTGCAATGCTACTTAGCACCTAAAAGATGGAAAAAACATGTCAGAACTTTCAACTGGTGACACCTGTAGTATTTAGTGTATAATGTGTCAGCACTTTCAACTGCTAACACGTGCAGTATTTAGTCACCTACAAAATTACAGCGTTTTTACAAGGTTGTACATAAACTTTACTAAAGAGGCATCACGTATTGCAGTGTACTCTAGCAATGCAAATGAGCAACGCAAATTAAGTTTAGCCTGAAACTAGTAAAATGAAAAATATTTGAATACCCCTTCATCTATGTCTGAAATTAATTAACCTTGAAAATCTTTCCCTCAGGTTAAAGTGAGTACTAAGTCATGGTCTTTTTGGCGTTGGCTGTAACGTGGAAGAGGAGCTCGTAGGAATCCAGTAGGAATTTCAGTAGGAAATGGGATTTTCATTAGTCCTGAGATGCTCCGTTGTCCCGGTGTTGAGCCGCGTGAGAACTCCTGAGCCGTTTGGGGCCGGGGCTGGGGCCGGTCCGGAGGCGTCGCCCCCCGGGTCCCCCTGCAGGGGGCGGCCCCGCCGGGCCGGGGCTGTGGGGCAGGACGGGCCGGGGCCGCGCCGGTTCCTCATTTCCCTCAGCGCTCCGCGCCGGCCCCGGGCGGCGATGGACCACGAGCGCAGCAAGGCGCTGCTGCGGGAGCTGCAGAGGGCGAGCGGCACCGGCAACGACCGCTGCGCCGACTGCGGGCGGCCAGGTACGGGGCCGCGGCCGGCGCTGAGGGCAGGGCGGCGCTCGGGAGGGTCCCGCCGCCCCCTCGGCGCTGCCCGGCCCGGCCCGCGGCTCCGTCCGCTCCGCCCGCGCTCCGCGTCCCGCGGGGAGGGAGCGGGGGGGTCGCGCGGGGCTGTTCGCGGGGACACTGCCCCGGGACGCGGAGCGAGGGGAGGGCAGCGGGGTCAGGAAATGGCCTCGGCACCGGCCGCCTCCCCGGGTCACTCGTGGACGGGGCACGGGAGGAGGAGGAGGGTGCGCGGGGTGGGTTTCCAGCCCGGGGGTGTCACTGCTCGGGGCTTGGGGCAGAGAAAGGCGCCGAGGAGCCCCGGAGAGCCCGGGCGGGCGGGTCACTGGGAGCCAGCTGTAGCTGGAAGAAGGCGACAAGTAGCTTCTGTTGGGTGTGATAAGGGAGAAGTGGAGGGTGGTGCAGACCGAGGAAATGGTCTTGCCAGAGCATCGATGCCTGTTGGGCTGCACCTGTCGAGGCCACTCCGGGGATGCAGCAGCAGGAAAGAGCAGGAGCCCTCGTGGGCACTGGACACGAGCCCTCACTGTGGGTGGTTGTGCTGGGTTGTACTCTCGGTAGTACTGACTGCCCACAACATCCTTCCATTGTTACTTCAGCAACAGCAGCTTTTCGTGCAGGACTGACAATTCGCTGAGCTTTTCCATCGCCACTCACCCACCTGCAGAGTCACATTAATTTTTAAAGCAAACAGTCAGTAAAAGAACCTACGAATGCACATTGTTCACTGTGGAAAGCAGGTGCTGTTCTCCTGAACACAGTGAAGTGACAGCCATAAACAGTGGGGTGGGATTTGATGTATTTATTACAAGTGAAGCCTGGGCTGTGCATCAGATGTGCTTTTTCACCCTTGCCAGTGGCTGTGCATTTTCCTAGGTATTAATTCATTCTTTGTGTTTGCATCCAGGTCCAGAGTGGGCTTCTTACAAACTTGGAATACTCGTTTGTGTGAATTGCTCTGGAATCCATCGCAATCTTCCTGGCATCACCAGAGTCAAATCCCTTGTGCTGGACTTCTGGGAGAACGATCTGATAGAGGTACAGAGGAAAAAGCAGTAATTCACTTACTTTTCTCCACATTTCATCATAACCTCCTCTACCTCCTAATGCCTGTGCCATGCACCGTGGACAAAGGAACAAAGCCACACAGAACCAAGTTAACTCCATGGGTAACTTTAGGGGTGTTTTTATGACCTGCTCAATCAACTGCACTGATAGGTGACTGTGTTTCTACCAGTCTGGTGTGTATTTTTATATGCACAGTTACTTCTCACTGTGGTTCAGAAGCCCACAGATATTTCCAGGTAGTGTTTTCTATTCAGAAAGCAATGTACCCTTCTTAAATATTGGTTCAGCCTCTCATCGTTCAGTTGAATTGTGTTAATAATATAATCACAATTAGTGTCTGGGACAAGGTGAAGGAACAGGGAGATCAGAAATAAATTTTCTCCTAATTTTCTTTTGTTCTTTTAATTGACAACCACAGTCTTGTGTTCCTTCCCATTTGGTCCAGAACTGTAAATACTGAAAGAGGCTCAGCCACCTAAAATTTGCAAACTCCAGTGCTAAAGGAAATTTATAAATGTATGTAGGGACACACTGAGAGTTAGTCAGCAAAAAGCACAGTGCTCTCTTTGATACAAGTTCTTGACATGGTATTGATTTGTAGCTGCACACCTGACTATAACTTCTTTTGTATTTCAGTTTATGAAGAGTCATGGGAACCTCTGTGCCAAAGCTAAATACGAGGCCAAAGTCCCTCCCTACTATTACATCCCCCACTCTGATGACTGTGTGTAAGTTGATGGTTATTCACTGCTCAGACTTTCACAGCTGCTGAACTACTCTTCCCTCTGCAGGTCTCTCTGGCTGGCTGGTGAAAATAGGGTAGAGGCAGATCAGCTTTATCCATGTTTTCCTCTTTCAGGGTTTTAAGAGAGCAATGGATTAGAGCTAAATATGAGCGTGAGGAATTTGTTGCCACCCGAGTCTGCCAAGATCCTTGTTCTGCAGGTAAAAGGATTGTCAGGGAGAAGGTGTCAGCCCTACAGCACAGTGTTCTCTTCACAACTTTGAGTGTCCCCAAGGTTGGCTTGTCACAGTTGAACTGCTGAATGTGCAGTCATTGCTCTAGGTCTAACTTTGAGAAGAGGCTCCTAAGAAAAGGCACTTAGACAAGTGCAGGGTGTATTCAGATCTTACAGTTCTCTAGTTCTCCACTGATTTTTTCATATGAGGTCAAAATTCTCAGATGGAGAAGAGACTTGAAACTGGTCCACATCTTCTTTAGCTAAACAGTCCTGCTCTTGTGCCACCCCTCTCTGACACTTCTCTTGGTCTGCTCTGCAGAGAACCGTGAAGGATTCCTCTGGAAGCTTGGGCAGGGACGCAGACAATTCCACAAGAGGAAATTTTTCCTGTCAGCAAGGGAAGGGGTGATGAAGTACTACGGCAAAGAAGTGAGTTCCTCAGCCAGAGTAGCAGGTCAACATCCATCCTCAGATAATGCTCTTTGGAGGCAAAAAACCAGCACAAATAACTTGGTTTTGCAGCCAGGACAGCCTGTGCTTGTAGGAATCCAAATGTTTCCCCATTACCATATGTCTTATCTTTGGATTCAGCCCCTTTCCTCATCCCTTATCTCAACCCTACAGCCTCCTTTTGCTTGGGGAACAAAGGAAATGGATACTGGCAGTTGAATAGCAAGACAAAGATGAGGTCTGTTAGCAGTTGTTACCTCTCACAGTACCAAAATATTCTCTCACCAACTCCTGCAGCATCATCCTCAACATGTGTCCCTTCTGTAGGAGACAGTAGCAAACTGTTCTCCAGTACAAGGCTGGAGACAGACCCACCCCTTGCAATGCAGACACACCCCTTGAATAGTGACCCAGCCCTTGTCAAGGAAAGGGAATCACTCCTTGTAAGCCATTTTATGTTGCGTGTAATTAAGGCTTTATGTTTCAGGTGTATCCAATATTCAGATATTTCAGGATGTCTGCTTTCCCTTCAGCAGGGATCTGGTCCTCATACAGCTGATCTGTCCTGCATTGCCTTCCCTGAAAGCACTTTATTACAGTGATGCTTTTCATTCTGCAGAGCACAGTTCCCAAAGCTGTTATCAGCGTGGAGACTCTGAATGCAATGTTCCAGGAATGGAAAATAGGACATTCCCACGGGCTGCAGATCACCTACAGCACAGATGGGCAAACAAGGAACCTGTTTGTCTATCATGAAAGTGGAAAGGTGAATATCTTGGAGATTTTGGAATAAGCAAGATGCTTAGATGTTGGATCTGGGTTTTGGAAGAGGTACCCTGTTTCTGCAGGATCTGGTTTTATTTGAAGTCACTAAGATTTGTAGAAGATAGAAAATGGCAGAATTTGACAATAATAACTGCATCACTTTGCTCCTCTTCTCTTGGGGCATATATTCAACTTCACACCCTGGACAGTCTTAAGGCTTCAGTGGTGCACTGATGTAAATCTCTGAAGGTAACTGCCTCATGGTGTTAAACAATTCTGTGGTTATATTCTTGGAAGCCTTCTTGACACTCATAGGAAATATTGTTCTGCATTATTTCTAAGCTACCAATGATAATTTTAAGAAGTGTGTCTACAGGTTTTGTTAGACTTCTGTTTCTTCCCTTGGCAGAGTTCTCATGTCTTTCCTGGTGCAAAGGTTTTTAAACAACCCATAACTGAGTCAACTGAAAAGCCTGTGTGCACAGGCATGGGTGACTGTCCACGCTGAGAAAGTCCAGGGCCTCCCAGGAGGGGCGTTTTTAAGTTATTTTGAAGGGTCAATGGTTTTCAGGTGTCTGGGACAAGTCACTGAGTCTCTCTGCCCCTTGGGGAGAAAGCACATCTTTGCAAAGAGGTCACAAGGAAGGAGAAAGGCATTCTGGAGAGGCACTGTTCTTCCTCTCCTTGTTATTCTTGCCTTTATGTTCGTGTTTGCTGTTTTCCCCAGGAGATTGTTGACTGGTTCAACGCTATTCGGGCGGCGCGTTACCATTACCTCAGAACAGCCTTCCCAAATGTCCCCGAGCACGAGGTGAGAACTGAGCAGGGCTCAAAGCAGGCTGGGCAAACACAGCATGGGAAAACATGCTCTTACTACTTCTGCCAGTCAGGTGCTCAAAGAGCAGCACTTGGGTCTTGGGAATGGACTGAAGAGGTAGAAGGAAGGGCCACAGTGGATAACATGCCAAAGCTTAGTCAACATTTAAGGCCTAAAAGTCTCCATGTGATCCTTATGAAGTGCAATCTTTCAAAAGTGTTATGTTCCTTCTTACTTCAGACTTCCCTTTACTGAGCAGCCAAAAAGAACCCAGACCCCAAAAGCCACAATTGATGGTGATTAAGTTTGGCAGAAACAGAGCAGAAAAGCAGTCTAGAATGAGACATACTGTCCTGGTTTTGGCTGGGACAGACACAGACTTTTTTGTGTTTGTGTTCTCCTAGCTCATACCCAGGATCACAAGAAATTTTGTCAAAGAAGGATATATGGAGAAAACAGGACCAAAAGTAAGTGCACACTTGGCAGTATACAAACCAGATCATTACAGGTAGAGAATATTTGGTAATTCTATGATGTTGCCTAGTACAGGGCTTACTCAGTGACTACCTGCTTCCTGGGTCGATAAAAGACAGTATATTCAAGCCTGCCATGTTCTTTGGGATCATGTTTTATTTTGTGTGGAAAATGAGATCAGGGAGAATCCTTGAAGAGTAAGCAAGATGGATTAGCCGGCAGTGGGACATGCAAAGTGCTGTTGCACAACACTCTATAGATTGCTATGTCTGCCAAGTGCAGCTCCTGCTAGAACAGAACATCACATGCTGACCCCCCCTACTTCTCTGTTTCACTTACAGTCACATCTGCTTAGGGCAGCAAAGTACCACTGAGAAAATTTCTCCACACTGAAGCCAATGGTTTGGTTTGGTTTATTGTGGGAAAGTATTTGGGCCAGTACTCCTTGGAAGAGGAGAGCGGGGTTTGGGGCACTGCTGAAGGAGGAGATAAAGGTCTGAGGTCTTGTTTGAACATGGCCACTTCTTGCCTTGCTCTGCTCGGAGTGAGCCATGAGCCAAAGTCCCATTATAAAGCTCAGGGGTGTAGTGCTGATATTGAATATGCTGGGGTTTGGCCCAGCTCGTGCCTGTGCCCCAGTACCTCTTCTGCAGGTTCTTGCACAGAGCATAAAGGTTGTGTGTTTTTCTCCTGAGGCCTCAATTCTGCCCAAACTGAAGTGAGCCCTAGAAGAGGCCTCTTCAGTTCAGCACAGAGCAGTGAATAGCTCAGGAATGGTCAGATGAGTGTAGTGAATGGAGTTAGTACTTATAGACAAACCCCAGTATTGTGCACCCTGAAATTCTAGGGGCAACCCCCTGACCAAACTGTTGAAGTTGATTGTTCTCTGCAGAGCTTTCAATGCATTTCCTGCAATTTAATCCTGTCAATTTGATCACTGGTAGAACCAAACTTCCCTGCCTGCCCAAGGGATTGTCACTGAATGCAAATGTGTAGTTTGAGCCCAGGGAGAAGAGGGCTGAGGGCACAGCAGTGACTCACCTGAACCAGTCTTGGGGGTGAAGGAAACTGAACTCAAGCTCCAAGTCATTTAACCAGTCCAGGGATCCAAACAGACCAAACTCCTCTCTGGGACTTGGTCTTCAAAGAACTTCTACCATCTCCTTGCAGCACAAGGAGGCCTTTAAGGGACGCTGGTTCAGCCTGGATTCTCAAGAAAGGAACCTGATGTACTTTAAAAACCCACTGGTAAGAGGAGTGTTCTTCACTGTTCCACATCCCCTTCAGGAAGTGGGTAGGGAGGAAGGGTCTGTTCTCATCCAGTTCTTCCAGAGCCTGTGCAAGACTGGAGCAGGCTCAGCCTCAAGAGCCCATCTCCCTTGTCAGTGGATGCCTCTGAGCTGTTTGGAGCTCTGGCCCATCTGGTGGCTGTGAGGAAGATCTAAGTCTTTTAAAAGTAGCTGCTACTGCCTGTAGCATTAATGCCCACTCTCTCCCAGCCCTGGTGGCTGTAACTTTAGGCAAGATGAGCAATATTGCAATAACAGCCCAACATCCTGCCTTCTGGCACTGCTCTGGCCATGGGAATATCTTTCCCTGCTCCTGAACACCCACCAACCAGCTCTGTAAGGGTGGGTCCCTACCAACAACCTCTGTTGTGTTTCCTGCTGGTGTCACCAAATCAGTGTCCCCTCCTGCATCCCCAGATCCCATTCCATGTCAAAGGACAGAGCAGTGTCTGCTAGAGCTGTGCTGTCCACTGGTTAATGGCTGTCTTCTGCTTCCTTCTTTTCAGGATGAGTTTGCACGGGGCCAGATTTTTATTGGAAGGAGGGATGAGGGGTATGAAGTACGACCTGAGCTGCCCAAGGGAATCCGTCTGAAGAAGAGGAAACCAAGTATCATTCTGGTCACGCCAGGGAGAGAGTTTGTGTTTTTATGTGATAACGACGAGAAGCAGAAGGAGTGGATTGAGGCCTTGGACGGAATCATCTCCCAGAACTGATGTCCACAGGGAGGAGCAGAGTCAGGCAGCTACATCCCATCTGGCCGCAGCTCCTGTCCACACAGGGACAGGGCTGTTTTCGGCAGAGTGGGTTGAATGTCTCTTACCCTGGCACAATAAAAAAATACAAGTCAAGTTTGAATTGTGGAGGATGCTGTAATGGAACCACTCTAATGGAATCACACAGATACTCCCAGCTTCTTGCTTTCAGCATTTTACACTGTTTTGCTTTTTTATGAGTGGCAAATCCAACTCGTGAAGATGAAATTTTTCCAAAGCACAACCCCACACGGTGCCCCAGCAAACACATTGTGGGTACAGGATGAACATGTGCTGATCTGTCTTGCCTAAAACCAGATGAAGCTTAATGAGCTTGATTAGTCTGAGCATTGAAAGGCAGAAACTAGTTTTAAAAGAGTTGTCTTCAGTGGCTTGCTTGAGTACACTCGCTGAATGGGGACCAGTTCTCAGTGTTGGGGGTGAGTACTCCTTGTGTCCACTCTGTGCAGGAGCTGATGGACACTTGCCCTGATTGATACTGTTTCCTCAAGACCAAGTCTGAGGTCTGGTTCTACCAAGCAGCACGTCATTCAGATATTTAATTCTTTCCAGATAGCCTTAGTTTGCAAATCAAGAGGAAGTCTTGCAGACCAAGTTTCTGGTGAGGCTTCCACCTTTTGCTGACTATTGCCAGCCCGTCTGAGACATTCAGAATAGTTCTCCTCTTCTGCAGAAATGAGGAAGTGCCAATACTTGCAGGAATGAGTGAGATTAATTCTTCTCTTCCCCCCCCAATAGTGCAAAAGAATTGAATTGGATCATCACTGCCTGTCTCAGCCAGCTCATCAGCCAGCTCTGAGCAATCTGCAGCAGTTTTGCCTGCTGATATGCTCCTGCTCTCCCCACCCAGCCTGATTCAGTCTGGTTCCCGTGCTGGTTCAGCACATCTGTTAAACGGCCTAATCCTGCAGCTCCCGAAATCAATAGAAAGCACCCTCTGACTTGTACAAGGAACAATGGCAGTCTTCGTTTGGTTTGACATGTGTTAATTGTTATTTTGAGATGGCCTCAGTAGCCTAGGATGACCTCAGAAGGGTTCAGTGCATCCAGTGGCCTGAACTTCCCACGGGCGGGCCTCTGCCCTTGCTGTCCCGGCTGGGTCAGCAGACTGCCCATGTCAGCGACTCACTGCTACAAAATCGGGAAATTCACGTTGAAAAAGAAACCCTGCCGATAACAAGGACTTTTTTGGACAGTCAGTATGAGTCAAGGCCAGGCCCGGGACAGCTCTGCATCACAGCCCATTCCCACAGTCAACCCGAATCCTGGGAACGAGAGGCAGCAGAGGAAGCGCTGACTGGCGCTGGGCTGAGCCCCGGGAGCTCTGACGGAGCTGTCACCGAAGGAGAGGAGGAGACAGGGCAGAGCCCAGCCCAGCCCGGCCCAGCCCAGCCCGCTCCGCCCCGGCGCTCCCGCCCCGGAGGAGGCTCCCGGGGAAACCGAAACCGTGCGGCCTCTGTGCTCCGCCCCGGCCGGGCCATGGCCGCTGCCATCGAGCTGGAGCGGCTCCTGGCCGCCGTGGAGCTGAGGTGCTCCTTGTGCCTGCAGTTCTTCTCGGAGCCGGTGCGGATCGCGGGCTGCAGCCACAGCTTCTGCCGGCGCTGCATCAGCCGGTACCGCGCGGGCCGGCCCGGGCCCGGCTGCCCGCTCTGCAGGGAGGGCTTCGAGCTCCGCGACCTGCGGCCCAACCGCGAGCTGGCCGCGCTGCTCAGCCTCATCCCGCCAGAGCTGAGCGAGGAGAAGCTGGAAACCGAGGATGAACCCTCTGGAGCTGTTGTCTTCGGCGACCGGAGCTCGGCGGGGGGACGACCTGGGGAGAAGGTACGGCCCGAGGCAGCGCGGGGCTCCATCCCGGGACAGCTCGGCACAGCCCGGGGCTCCATCCCTCCACAGCCCGGGGCTCCATCCCGCTACGTCCCTCCACAGTCCGGGGCTCCGTCCCGGGACAGCCACGGGCTCCATCCCGCAACAACCCGGAATAGCCCGGGGCTCCCTCCCCCGGCAGCCCCCGTACAGCCCGAGGCTCCGTCCCACTCCATCCCCGGCACAGTAACGCAACAAGCACCGTACGTTGAGCAGATGGGTTTAACTAAAACAGTGTTTGGGGTTCTTTGGTGTGTCTGACACACTGAGGGCTGCACAGCTGAAGTAGAAGAACCAATATATGTATTCAGCTGAGGTACGGTGGTAATAAGCGTTCTTGTTTCTGGGCGTTACTGACTGCATTAGCATTGCACTGGAGACTCCTGAAAGGCCACATAACATTGTTACGCGGTGCTACAGCTCCACCCAGCTTCGTGGCACAGAATAGGACCGGTTTAGTATCTAGATCTCCACTTAACAACCAGACTTGGAGGCGATGGGGAAGAATATTTTAGCACATATGTATCTAAAAAACCCCATTCTTCAGTCAAGCAAAGACCTGAAGCTCACAATTATATTTGAACATGCAATTGGTAACTGTTGCATGTTAAATTCATTGTGATTATTCCTGCTCAGAATTGTGTCCTCCAGGCCCCTCCTCAAGCAGTCCAGTGCTTAACTAATGTCAGTGATCTGGGAATGTTTATTATCCTGCTGCTTAACCTAGTCATGCTTTCTTTGAGAGTTATGTGGATAAATGGTCCAATGTGTCACTTTAAAGGAGGAAGAGATATGGGAAAGCTCCAAGCTACCAGAAATATCTGCGGAGACCATCCCCCTGTTGAGGAGAGATCTCAGTAAAACCAAGGTACATGTTGTACATTCATCACCTGCAGTTACCTTCTGCTTCCACTGCTCTGGGCTGGAGATGTGACTGACTCCAGGGCAGCTTTCCAGCCCAGAGCAGGAATCTGCCTTTTTGTTTCCTTCTTTTCTGTCACAGTTCTGCTTTTATGGATGAGAATGAACTGTGGCACCAGCTGCACTAACTCCTGTCCTGGCTGGCACAAAGGCCTCTGGGGTTGTGCATTGTTACCTTTTTCTGCTTATCCCTGAGTGTTTCTGGTACTCTTAGATGCAAAATACAAATCACAAAGAGAGAATATTGATCTTTCTGACTCGTCAAACAGAATCCACTGGCCATAAAATAGTCAAGATCCTTAACATGCCCAAAATCTCATTGCAGGTAATGCAGGAATAGCGTCAAATGTATTTTATTCCTTTGAATAAAGTTTTCTGGTCTGCAGGGGTCGGTCAGTCAAAGAGCACATTAAACGGGGCAGTAGATTCTCATATTCCACACATCTTTCCCAACCACACAATGAACTCCATGTTTTCTGCCTTTCAGATCAAAAGCCAGATTACTCGAGATTTCTGTTGCATGAAGGAATATGTTGAAAGACAAGAGAGAAGCACATTGATGTTCATTGAACAAGAGCAAAAAGCTGCTCAACAGAAGATTGAAGAGACTATTCACCAGCTCACGGACAGCAAAGCCCAAACTGTAAGTGATGAAATGAGTGGCAGGATATGAGTGGGAACTCTCAAGCTCAGTGTCTAGGATAGCTGAGTATGAACAGGGCACTTTGAGGTCCCCACTGCGCTGTTCTCACTGGAGACAGTGATGCCAATCCATGGACATTGCTGTTACAGGGAGAGTTTGGAGTGAGGAATTCAGAGGGAGAATAGTACTAAAAAAGGACACAGGCTGGGGGTGCAATTCCAAACCAGATTTGTTCCAAGGGCCTTGGTGAGCTGGAGTGAAGTGGGGACTACATTGCTTAAATCCAGTCCTCAGCCAAATCTAAAGTTAAGATCCTTCACAACTTTTTTATTTTCCAGAATTTGTTTATACACCCAAGTGTTCAAGTTAAAGAACTCACAGGGTTTTAAGTGTTTTGTAACAACTTCCTTGGGGAAAACACATCAAGGGCCCTCAAAAGAGGCAGTTAAAGCACTCAAGGTTCTGCAGAGCCTGCTTTGATGTTGAAAACAACAGTGCCAGTGATGCAGGTCAGCCAGCAGGAATTTGGAGTGGGGCTCATTCTCAGTTTTCTTAGAAAACAAGGAATTTGGAGTGGGGCTCATTCTCAGTTTTCTTAGAAAACAAGGTCTTCTTATTTTTTAATAAGAATAAACTATCCTTCCCTATTTTCTGTAAGATTTCAGGTTAGTTCTCTCAGGTAACTATCCTATAAAGGAAACTCTTAATACAAAGGATAAGATTTTTTGAGAGATCACTGCTGTTTTTCCACTCTGCCTTTATAATATAATCTGGTCTGCTAGATGAAATAACTGCTGTTGTTTACATCTTTTGATCCTTTTGTCATTATTAGAGTAACTTACCTTATGAAGGCTCACTTTCAATAATGTATAAAATTACACTTGATGAGAAGCTTAATGTTGTCAAAAGTGCTGTAGAAGATCTTAAGAGAAAGTTGGAAATGTTACTTTTGGAGAAATACCCTCAGCAATTCCCACCAGGTGAGTTTCCCTTATTTTGAAATGTCTTTCTTGGAGGGAGTGGATGTAGCAAATGAAGTAAAAAATTACTCTGTGTTCATGAAATGCACGTGCAAGTAACACAAGAAATATGGGATACTCAGAAAAAAATTAAGAACACTTTAAAGACTTTTATGACAGAAAATGGTGCATCTGCATAGAAAGATCCAACTGCTTTACCCATTCACTCTTCTGGCTGCTCCATTCTGACACTCAGGGCAGCAGCGTACAGTGTTTTGTTTATTTTGGGTAAAAATGTTTGCCTACACATTCTTTCATAATTTATACAACCTAAAAAATCAACTCTTTGTTTTGTACTTTAACTAGTAGCTGGGTTTATTTAAGGTGTGTTCTCCTTTAGAAGCGTAAACACTTCCTATTTACATTTTGAAGAAATGCCTTAACACTTCTTTTTTTTTTTTTATTAAGTGCAACCTCCAAACTCGTATCAGGAGACAAGTGTCTGCTCATCACCCCCAGAGTCTGCAGCTGAGATTCCAGACCTGGTGATTCCAAGCCAGTTTTCTCAGTGTAAGTATCCAGCAGAACTCTTATTGACAACTCTCAGGTGACTGTGAGGCTGTGGATTTGCTGAAGAAAAACTGTTCTCAGAGCCATGGGCAGGAGATGTGGCTGTGTCCCTGAAGCACAGC